TAATAGAATGTCACATGAATACTATTGCTTGCACAATTTTGATCTTATACTTTTAAACACATTATGGTATCTGAATATATTTTCCAAGGTTTTCATTGCTATTGTACCATATACTAGCTGGCAATGTAATTCTTGACTTCTGGTTCCTTTACTGTTGATAGCTGATTCTAAAAGGAAGAAGTTTTTCACCACTTCAATATTTTCATTGGCAGCTATAAGACTGGTTGCTGTAGTTGTTGTCATTCATTGGTCTTCTTTATCATTAATTGTAATATTATTCACTGTTGTCCTTAATTTTAATTAATAGAACTTGCATTTTCAGCTACCAGGCTAATCATCATCACGGTACAAGTTTCTAATATTTTAAACCATACCCGTCTTCCCATTCAGCTTTCCCCAATATATAATCAGAAGTATATTTTCCCTGGATTTTGGCTTGCTGTATTGCGTATAGGTTTTGCATGGAAACAATAAAATCATCCAGAAATCCTGTTTTCCTAAGGAAATTTCATGGCTTAATATGGTTAACATAACTGAAGGTGGTTTTTTTTTACCCCATTTACTTTTTTTTTGTACGCTTTGGCTTTTTCAGTTATCCATTATCTATCAGCAATAATGTTCCTTGGTCTTTTCTAAAACCAGCATGAACATCTGGCATCTCCTTTCCCATGTAATCTGTATTGGTTTAGCATTATTTTGCTAGCACATGAAATTAAAAATACTGTGCAACAGTATTCACATTCTGTAAGTCTGTTTTCTTTGCTATCTGTAAAGGAATTCAGAGTGATCTTGATGAAGACATTGAAGAACCATTTAGAATGGATTTGCATTTTCACAAATCAGAAATTGAAGAAAGTCAAAATAACCCAATTTAAAATATTTATGATGTGTAGGAAACATGGATATTTTTCTAATTCTGTTATCGTATTCTACAACAATAAAGTAGCATTCCTGCAATTCCAATATTTTCACTTTGATTCTATTTGATAAAGTATATTTTCAGAATTTACACTTAGTTAAATAGAGGGTTTCTTGTACTAATTGTGCTATTTCTTCCACTAGCATTTCTGCCATCATAAGCAGAACATGTCTAATTGATATATACAGGATTAGCTTGGATTTTTTTCTAGCATCAATAACTTTTTGGGCTACATAAGTAAATACATCAGGACATCAGGATTTATTAAACCCCAACTGTATCATAAAAATATAAATATCATTTAGAGAAAGGTATTTAAATTTGTAAAACAAATTTAATTTTTAATAGTGCTACCATTTTGATCTTTGGTAACTTACTGATGTCGCTAATTGCCTTAATATCCTTTGTTAAATATCTTGACAAACTATAAATGGAAGACATTTCATAATTAATTTCCCATTCAGAGAAACAGGACCTGTATGTGGATTACAGTTCTTTCTCTGCTACAAGTTTTCTAATCCCCCCCATCAGCAGTCTATATTATATACATTCTGCTTGTTTGTTTGCTTTATCAGGTTTGTGTATAACAGCAATTTCTAACCCATTCTCTTCCCAACACCCACTTCCCCAAACCAAAAGCCCAAATTGAAACCTTTGCAGCTCGCTGAATGCTGTTGCTAGCAGATTGGCAATAGGAAAACAAATCAGCTCAAGAGCTCTTAGGGGAAAAAAAGAAAGAAAAACAGCAGGACGAGGAAAGCAGTGGCAAGTAAACAAAGCTGAAATAGAGAAAAAATACATTTACATTTGTCAATTTATGATTTCCACTGGGATAAATTCAAATTTGTCAGTGCTTCCTTCCTGCTAGAAATTCTCTTTATTTTTAAATAAAAGTTTAAATTTGTGCCATTTTAATTAGCACAATTACATCCAGTAACCATGCTGGTAGGAACACTGGAAGGGAACAGCAGAAAAATGGCTTTCAAAAGGTTTCTAAATTAGAGCTCCCTGTTTTTCTTAATGCCATCATAACATGTTTACATATATAACATGTATATATTACAAACAGTCTTAATGAGTTCCATGTAAAGTTAAGGTTAAAGTTAACCCTAAGACAAAGCTAATTGTATCTGGCTCTGTTGCTCCTAATCCTTAGGTACTTTTGTGTGCCAGTCCTTTCTGCTTCTACCTTAGGCCTACATTTTCAGCAAAAGCAGTAGTCATATTTTCTGTACATTTTGCTGGGGACTCTGGTCAGCCGAATGTATTCACTATTTTAAAGAGATATAAGTAAAAAGTCTCAGGAAATTTTTTGTAGCATTATTGTACATCATTCTACATAAAGACCAGAAAAATATTTATGGTTTCTATTTTGTTACCTAAACTTATTCTAGGACATGGGTATCAAACTCATGTCATCATGGTGGCATCATGTGACATATTGGGACTTTTCCCCCTTCACTGGAAGTGGGTGTGGTCACCACGTGGCATATCCAGCCCATGGGCTGGGAGTTTGACAGCCCTGTTCTAGGAGATTTGATATTCCATTCTCTATATAATTTTTAGCAGATTTTCCAGATTAATGGAAAGTTTAATAACAATTACGTAAATGTCCAAAATGTCCCTAATTAGAGGTGTGAAAATAATAAAACGTGCAAGTTAGATGTGGCAGTGACATAAAAAAACCTAAATGCTACAATTACAGTCTTATAAATTAAATGAACACATATACACATCGTTAAAATACAGCTGAAAGTAAACTTTATGCACCTATGGAGTTCTTGCCTAAGACCTGGAATAGGAAAATGATGATGTTCAATGTGTTAAAGGTATCATCAGAGGATGTAAGCTATTCGAAGTAAAGCTGCCTTTTGTAATTGACTGATGATCATTTTGTCAATGCCAGTGGTCTTCAAGTGATACTCCATCTATTTTGGGATTGCCTATTACTAGTTGTACTATCATTACTTTCTTTTGCAACAGTCATTCTATTTCATTTGTATTAGTCTTTGTATTTTGTTATCTTCTCTAGTTCTTTCTCTTCTACCTTGCTGTCTTCAGGTACTGCATGTCTATTATTCAGACTTTTTTGTTTTTCTTATTGACAGTTGTTAAGTCTGAAGTGTAGCAGTTTGAATGCTTTAGTCCCAAAACACTTTAGCTTCTTCATTTTCTATGACTTTCTCCTTTTTATGGTCCCACCATTTCTATTATTATGGATGGTTGCACAATCAGAAAAATGTTATTATTATTAAATTCATTTATTGCCCTTTTTGCAGTTCGAGGTGACTCTGAGCAGCAGTTTCTAAGAAAATCCCACATATGCATTTTCCTACTTTCTTATAGAAAGTAAAAAGGTCAATCAAAACTGCAAAATCATTTGTCATCCATTGCTGCTGTTCCTTTTAGAGGACAGATGAATTTGGTATAACAATTTTGCTATCTTCTATCAAGATCTTCTACTTTGTTAATAGATGGGAATGGTGTTACTCAATTGCACAGAAATTGAGATAAAGATGTAAGAGAAAGGAATAATGATTGAAGAAAGAAAAAGTAGAGATAGGAGAACAAGTGCGATGAAGAGAGTAAAAGAGGAAATGTTTTAGATGGGTTATGGAAAAAAAATGTGGCCTAATTTTTAAAGACAGATAATGGAGGATAAGCAAGATTTAGAGAATAAAGAAATTGGAATAAATTAGCATGGCATTATAAGACACAAATAAAGATAACAAAAATAAAAAAGCAGAAAACTAGGCATGGTCTAAAGATATATGTGTCTCTGTTTAGATGTATTATATTATAACAATTGGAAAGATGAAATATGGAAATATAACCTATTTTAGTTGGGACGAAAAAGAAGTCATATGCTGTATTGCAAAGAGAAAGAAATTAAAAGACAGGTGATAGTACAGAACAAAGAAAGGAAACCAGATTAAGTCACATGAGTTCAAAATAATTAAAGCTGTTGACACATTTCTTCTAACATAATGCAATATTGTTGTACTTATAAATGGGCAGGGGGATTCTAAATAATTTTAGTTACCCCCCCCCCCCCATTTTAGGACTGATGAATTAATTCATTGTTACAAATCTGGTAATAGGAAGATATTAAAATGTTGCTCAGTACAGGGGTTGATTATAATATCAAATAGTCAGATCATTTTTAAACAGACTGGCAAGATGTGATTGTCTTCTTAAATTTGTAATTTAGTTGTATGCCTTAACTTACAGCTTTGTTGTTTCTGCTTCAGTTTCAGAACAAAACAGTTTCATAGCAGAATAGCCCTTTTTCAACTATAATTGTGTTCAACAGAATATTCCTGAGTAGAGAATGTCTCATTTAATCCCACCTATACTGAATTCATAGTAATATGTTCAGATTGAATCAGTCTCTTCCCATGAATAGATTAATTCAGTCTATTTGCCATGAATAGTATATTTTTTGTGAGAAAATATACTACATACTTTCCTTTTCTTCTTCTTTCCTATTATTCAAAAATAATAACAAAAACAAGTTGAAATAGGAGATTATAGGATAGGACAGAATCAATCTATTTTATTTTTTATAGTATGATATAGAATTAAAGCTTGAAGCCTTAAGAGTTAATTTTTCAAAGTATAATTCAAATGAATTATACTTAGAGAGTAATTAGAGTAATAAGTAGAATAATTAGAAATAAGTTTATAATCCATTCACGAAGAAAGGTTTCAGTGTTGCATACATTCTGATATTTGCTTGTAATGCTATACTTTAAACAAATTTAACTGGTTCTATAAACAAAATGAAAATCATAGGATCATTATTATTCCTATTTTGAAATTTTATTGCTATATTTTTAATGCAGGATAAAAAATATAATACACTGTAATACTCTCTTGTAATAAATGTAAACATGATAATAATAACTCTTTTCAGTTAATCAGCTAGGCAACTAAAGGATCTCATTGAGTCAAGTAATCAAAACTAAATTTTATTGTCAGCTGAACCACAATATAACAATATAGGATAGTGAATGCTTTATTTAGTCTCAGTTCACAAAATGATTTCAGAGCCTTTTGATGTATTTTGTGTTATTTTTACATTTGGACTATTAAAGCCCATTTGGAGCAACACTTGAAAGAGCCATGCTACTATTCATATTATTAATAAATTTCAACATTTAGTTCAAGATGTAAAGGTAGATAATATGGATTCTTTAGCCAATCTTCGCATTTTATTGTTATTGAAATTTTTGTTTGAAATTTGGTTTCTGTTTTGGGTAAAACAGTTTGCCGAAGGAAGCACAAAACAAAAGAGGCTCTCTCTCTACTTTGGATTGCAAGTGTTTCTCTGCTGTAGCTTCCAAGAGCTCCCTATTCTTTCTAGCCCACTCGATATCCTGCAGGTTGCGGCAGAACAATTCACAGGAAAAGCTTAGACATTGAGCTTGCACGCTTCTTGACTCCATTCTAAACCCTTTGTTCACACCAGGGTGGCATTTTTTCACACAGCATGTGGCAGATTTGACTCCCCTCCAGCTTGTCTTATGAAATCATAGTATCTAAAAGAAAGAAAGACCCAGCGTATTGCTTCCAGCCCCACATAATCTAAATATTTTTACTTCAGTATGGTTCAGCACTAGCCAGAATTTATATAATAATTAACAATCCAAAGTTATGGAAAATAAATTATAAGCAGTTTTAGATAAAAAAAATACAGTTTGAAGAATTCATTTTCATACATTCTGATATTCTGAATTAGTATTAAAAACATCCAATGCAGTATTTAAAGAATTTCAGATTGCAGTTTTATTTCATTTTCTATGAAATGCTTTTTTAAAAAAAAATAGCTTACAATATAATGACATATTATTTTACTGATTAAATTTAAAATAGAAAATTCAAATAGAATTATTATATCTTATTCTGTAGTGAGATTACTGGCTTCAATTGTTTCTTTTTCTAATTATGACCATGTACAAATTTACCAGTGTTCAAAATATTTTCCATTAACTTTTAATTGTAAACTTAATATTTTAAATGATCAGTTACAGTTTCTGTTTAAAAAACAATTCCCTAAGGGTTAAATAAATCTAAATGAGTATCATTTAAAACAAAAACCAAAAGTACATGTTTTATCATCGAAAAATGTTATGGTTGTCTCTAGATAACAAATAGAAATGTAGATATTTAATTAAAGGAAAGTTTTTTTTAAAAAAATATATTTCTTCTTCATAATGCTAAATGTTAACTGCTAAATCCTTCTTTTTCATCAGTTATTTCTTTCTTTTTTTTTACAAAAGTGTGGGAAATATTTGATTAAATAAATTTGGAGAAATATTGTAGCATTTATTCTGAAGAATGTTCTGAGTTTATTTTTTCCTGTAATAAAATTGTATAAAATTGGTATAAAAATGTTGCAAATGAAGTCTAATGGACAATCTTCTGTTGTTTTATGGAAAATTCACATGTTTGTTTAATGTTCATATGTTGCTGAAATATACAGCATATTGTTCAGAAGTTAGGGGTCATAAAATCTAGCAAAAGCAGCTGAAAATAGAAGTAGAATATTAAAAAGTTATAGTACAAACCTATATTTGCATTCTCAAAAGCCATTCTGGTTGACTGAGTGAAATTTTCAGATAAGTAACTAATAAGTAACTATAGGAATTACTTATAAATCTCAGTGAGATTTTCAGTTCAATTTTTTGAAATATTTTGATAATGTTAACTTCCTGAAAATATTTTTAATCTATTTTATAATATATAATAATATTAAATATACAGAACAAGATATTTTCCATGCATATTTTTTAGATATTTCCTTTTCAGGTTGCTCATTAGTCTATATAATAGCTACCGATGGATAAAATTAAGAATGATCAAATTTTAAAATGTGCACTTCTCTTAAACATATTTGCAGTGAAAGAAATAAAAGCAATGTAGAACAACATTTTTTTAAAAAAAATTAAGCATAGCAAATAATTCTTTCTTCACTTTGTTAATAGACTCAAAACATGTAAAAAGCAACAAAATTAATAACATTCTTATAAGCAGTAATTAAAATTTAAGCCAATTATTACTCCAAATTAACATTTGAAGTCCAGCATATTTGCATACAGTAAAATAATTATTGTGATACTTTTCACTAAATTCAACCTCTTAATGCAGTATAAAGTCTTAAAAAATCCAAAGAAAGGATTAACAAATACAAAGAAAGGTAAATTTTAGTAAACATATAAAAAGAATACCTACTTTCAAAAAATGTATTTACTGAAGAAAAAAAACATTTTTCATTCATTAAATCTCTGTCAGAGGAAGAAGAAACATACAATAAGCATTCATCACGATCCAGTCTAGAAAAAGCATCGTATGTCATTTTGGTTTCTATTGCTATTTCTCTTCAACTTTTGTCAGTTTAATATTTCTTCTGGTACGAAACAATCCAAAATCATGAGCAAATCCTGTTTGCATTTACAGTAGTTTTCCATTTCTGGCCTGTCCTTGTATTATTGGAATGAAGTTTACTCCCTCTTCTAAATTTCAGCTTGGACTAATCCTCTTCCATGTTAAGTCTGAATGAAAAGAGTATTCATTGTGAATTATGTTTCATCTGTCACAATAACCTTCTTTATTCATTCGTGCACGTCCCCTTTGCCTTTGGCAATTAGAGAAAATAGGTATGTCTCCAAGTACAGAGGCAGTGATATCTGAAAACATATATAGATGCTGAAGCCATATATAGACAATGTTGGATAAGCGACCCCCAGAAGAAAATGTAAGCCCATTTGATTTGAATTTTATTGGATCAGTATAAAGGCAACAATACTCTACAATGAGCACATCCGCTCAGTTTTCAGTGTGGGAACTTTTTTTTTTTATAGCAGTTGTGACAGAAATGTTCATAGACTTTGAATATAAGCAAAATAGTATAAATGAGTTTCAGAATATCTCATTTAAGTACCTTAGGACTTTTAAAAAAGAAAGCCAATGCACTTGAATTATGGTTGATTTAACAATTTCCACATAACTTTCATGTGCTTTGTTTCATCAAAAACATAAATATGTTTTAGTTAAATAACGTTGCCTATTATGTTCATATTGAGGTTTATTTAGATGATGTACAATAATATAAGAATGCTTCGTATTTATTTTTTTGTATGAACATTTGTGAGAGACAGTTTCTTTTTCCCATTTAGAAAAAAAATATTCTGAAAACCAGTTACTTTATCACATAAAATATGAGAATTTTATTTTCCCTCTAATAAGTTTTATTATAATAATTAGTGTAATAATTGTCAATAGACAACAGGGTGATTTTAGAACATGTGTGGTTATGAGAACTCATATATCCTTCAATAAATTATTTTTAAAACTCAGGTGTTTTGTTCAGTTATGAAACTTAAAAGAATCGAACACACAAACACACACACACACAACAACAACAACAACAACAATTTCCAAATCTTAGAATATAAATGTGCTAGTTGTTGTAGCCTGGTGGGGGGGGGGGGGAGGAAATGTGAATGTATAGACAGAATTTAACATTAGTATGTAACTGGGTAATATATATTAAAAAGAGATTCCTGATGGAAAACACCTCTTGGAGAACACAAAATGAAAATTAGGAAGAACAGAATAACAGTTTGGCCCTTTGCACAGGTTTGAGCTCAAATATGCTTGCTAAGCTATCTATTTCACACATGCAACGACAGAAGGTTCGATATTCATTCGATCGATGAGTGAAAAGGCACAATGGCAAAATCAGACAGACTTCTTTTCAAAAACAGATCTCCAATGTCCCCCCACAGTCTGCAGTTGCTCGGCTGGTGGTGTGGCATAGACAGAGCAAGGGTTACTTCAAGGCTATTCTTTGGACCATCCAAACAGTCTAGACCGATGACCTGCAGCATCATAGCCTTTGAAAAAAGAGACAAGTTCGTTCATGATGAAGAAAAATCAAGCCAACCCCCTTTTAACAATAAGGAGCAGCTCGGGGCTGCAAAGAGGTAAGCAGGGGTAAGCAAAAGGAAAAAAAAACACAAGCAAAAAAGAGACATCTGCTTCCATGGTTACAGGCCAACTATGAGGACCTTGCTTTTAAGAAAGATAGTTCTCATGCTCCCACACAGTCATATGTCATGCATTCAGAGCAAAGCCAGGTTGAGCTGAAATCGGCATAGATATTTGGAGTAAAATGATACATGAGCACATGGGTTTTAAAGGGAAAAAAAGAGTCACATGACAGTTAAAAAGCAGGCTTGTCTTGGACTCTTTCTGAATAGAGCACCTTTTCCTAGCCCAAGAATAGAGAAGAAAGAATTTGTACAAAATGAACATTTGTATGATATGTAACATTTTCAGTATTCTTATTTTGTCAACAGAGAAAAAGGTCAAGGGTTAAGGTTTGTGCATGAAAGGGCCACAAGTCCCTTTGTTAAGAAAGCTTTAGAGAACGCTTAGTAAAATTTTGTTTTCCATTTGATCTGAACTATTATTATCTTGAATGATTATTAAGCTTGATGTGCATTAAAATAGTTTTTCTACCCATCTTAATTATTTTATTTCTAGAGTTTCTTATCGTCTTTCACAATATTAATTTCATTATTTTTCCTTGTATATAGAATGTGAGAACAATTTCAGTTAACACTGATCTTACTAAAATGCTTCTTCATCTAATGAAAGTGTACCATCATTTATTTTTGTTTTACAAATCTAAATTTACAGAGAATTATACTTCTGTTTAGAAATTGTAAATACTATTTTATATTAAATGTAATATAGACAACACTGCATCTGCCTTAGCAATATTGGCATCTTAATATTGTATTTGTCATTTGTAGAATTTAATGTTTATTAGGATATTAGAAAATATTAACTAAGAAATCATTTTATTAATCTCTTCATATAAGAGTACACGATTAAGAATATAATGTTGGTTATTGCAGTCTATAAAGATAGGTATACATTACTGAAATATTTATGCCGAAGAGTACTTCTTCTCAATGTATAAATTAATATTGAATGTTAGTGGATTTTTCAGTCTGATTATTATTTAACCAATGTATATTATTACAATGCTTAGTCTTTACAATAATGATTCATGATATAGATTTTTATAAAATCCATATGCAAGTAATTACTATTTAGTAAACAAAAATATAAAAATATAATTAAGAACTTTATGCCGTATGAAATATTGTGGATTAGTTGCTTAAAAGAATGTTTTCTGAAAAGATTTTTTGTATATAACATGGTTCTTGGAAAAGAAGAAGGCAAACAAACAATATTTTCAAATACTTAAAGAAAATCTAGAGCAAACATAAATGCTAATAAAGGAATCATTTAAGACATTTTAAAAAAATACTGCTTTTTTCATCAGAAAATTCAATAGAATTGCAAACAGCAGATTTTTAAGATGTTTGTTATACAGACCTTTCTTCATAACTTTTTATTATTGTTTGATATATTTTACTTTACCATTTAATGTTGCATCTGTATTCCTGTAAAACCAAAAGAAACTAATTTTATATTGCATGGTATAAGATATTTTTGTTTATTCGCATGTAGAATTGAGAATAAAATAACATTAAATAAAATTTAATTAAATATAGTAACATAGTGGGGTATTCGTATGATGTCTTCTCTACAAGCTGAAGTCTTTAACAAATTCAAGGCTTGAATAATGCATCTTTAAACAAAAGTCTTTTCGTGAATGCTTTTTTCCACTAGATTGTTGAATATGACCAAGTTATAACAAAATCCAGGTTTTGCTTCTGTTTTAAAAGTGATTTTTTTTCTCCCCACTTCCCCTTTCTGAATAACTTTTTAAAAATATTTTTAAAAGATATGTGTTTTTCTAGTATTAAAATACATTAGATGAATATTATACATAAATATTTAACTTTATCTTTGCTGAAAATAAACATGGTTGAAACAAATTTTTGGCACACATTTTTAAAACAATGGAACAATTTGTTTCATGTGATGTGAGGATATGATTATATAAAGAAACATTTTTATTCCAGACCCTTCTTCCCTTAACATTTCTTTCTTATTTTCATGGAAACAGATAAATAAACCACAAGAAATTGAAATAACATAGTAGCTTGGCCATTTGTATCACTGTATTAAATTGCATGGAAGATACCAGGCATCAATAGAGTAGTGAATTATTCACAGAACTGTTTACAATTGTTTTTAACAATGTTTTCAGCTCCTAACATTATAGGTAAAAATGTTAAATATATGAATTGTACTAAATAAAATACAATTGCTGTAATAATTGCTATATAAATATATTATGTTGCCTTTTATGCATCTGTAGAGACTCATTCACAACACTTTCTGTTTAATTATTTTGAAAAATCAGCTGAGTTATATGCAAAGAGATAGCATTCAGATTTGAAGCAATATGTTGTTGTTTTTGTTATTATCCATGCAAACTTTGTCAGCCTTTGTATACATCTAGAATTGATAACTGCCAAAGTCTGATTATTTTTCAGAATATCTGGGGCCCCACATGAATGTTCCTCTAATTTGATTGCTGTTCTACGCAGCAATTCAGAACTTTATTCTCTAATAAAAATAGTAAAAAGATTTATCCTTCTTCACTTTTCAGTGGTTATTCCATATTCAACAAACATTTTATTATACTGAGCATGCTCATGTCTAATGGCAGTTAGACTGGGCTTTGCCTTTTCTACTATAGATTTGCTTTTTCTAGACTGGGACCTTCTGGAGCTAGGAATGGGGGAAAAGAGCATTTGACTTCCAATTGGTTTTAAGAGATGGAGAGATTCTTTGTAAAGGTACTAGCTCATTTATATATATATGGCTCATGTACCATTTAGCTTTACATAAGCATATGGAAGAATCTAAGTGGTTGTCAATGATTCAATTTGCTGAACCATTTTGCTATGCATAATGAAGCAAGGGAAAAATCACATAGCATAGGAAATTATTAAATAATAATAAAGGCTACAGGTAATGAGAATATCCTATTTCATGTGATGTGAATCTACAGGCCAATTCATGTGAGCAATACCACTGTAACAAAATAACTTGCAATGTTTCTCTGCTTTATATTCCATCTGTTTTATGATACTAGCAGCAAACTAATGGTGGTGCCTTGAAAAATCTAATAACTCCACTTTCCTTGCCATTCTTTGAAATCTTAACTTGTGTTCAAATACATTATTTCTTTCTAGAATTCTATTTTTCTATTTCAAACATATTCAGCTATAGAAAAAAAAACTCCAAAATGCAGGCGTGAACAACTTAATGGATAATTCTTAAAGTAAATCATCAAATAAATTCAGCCAAAATGACACTCATCTTTTGGGGTTAGGATAAACCCACAGCCACGACTACAGAAGCAATTGGGTTATTTCAGTGCTCCTCAATTTAATATCTTCCAGATATGTTGCCTTTGGCTCTTATCTTCAAATTTATGTGAGCTGAAGTTCATTTTGCCTGTGGGGTACCAAGTTTGAAAAAGTTAGGGGTTAAGTATATATATTATATATTAAGTATATTAAATATGGATATATTATATATTAAATATGGAGCAAATAAGAAGGTTGCAGCCCTATGGGAAGATTAAAAGATCATGCCTTTTATTACTAGCTTTTGTTGTTATTTTGTAATAACAGCTACAGACGTATACAAATATAAATAGACATTATGACTTATCTCTGATCCGACAAGCATAGGACCATTGTTGTCTGCCAGAAAAATAGAAGTGTGGAAAGTTTTACAACAGATATAAATTATTTTTTTAAGGTAAGTTCCATAAAAATGTTATGTTTCAAACAAGATATAAAACACAATTTGAGGGAAGACCAAAAATGTGATTCAGAAAGAGAAGACCTAGAAAAATAATAAAAATGGCTACTTACTCTTGAGCATTTTCCACACTTAAAATTGGATTTGGTGTTGATAGTCATCTTGTACTACAGAGTAGAAGCAAATATACAACAGAAAAGACATAAAAAGAACAGATCCCATATGTAATGAAATCATTGCTCATCTTTCCACATATTACAATACTTTCAGCATAAGACAAGGAATATTGGCTTGGTTGTCTTGGGCCTGCATGCAAGTTTCATCCATACTGAATAACATGCTTTCACTTTAGCAACCTTATCACATACAAAATTAATTAATATATAGATATTATAATGAAAACCTTATTAGACAAATTAAAAAATATTGAACTCAGTACACATCTGGACATACTCCTTTCTTTTAAATTTGATATCAATTTTATACATATCTCTTCAGTTCATCCTAGATCTTAATTTAATTTGTGATCCTCTTTTAGTTATTAAAAAAAAACATGAAAATATTTTTACTATAACACCTAATTTGGACAATATATTTTCCAAACAAGTGTAATTTATGTAAGAGTTCTGTGTCATTGATTAGATACTGGGTATCAAGGAACTTCAATTTAATGGATGTTGATTCAAGATAAATTTGATATCTGATCAGAGGATATTTTTATTTTAAATCATCTTAAAATGTCAAACCAATTTGCAGTTATAATTTGTTTAAACTATGAGGGTCACAAAACAAAACTTCAAGAAATTCAGATTTGTAATTGTATACTTATTTAGATAAATATTATGTCCTTATTTATCCCACACCTGCACATTGTCTTTATATTGATCTTGATCCAGCTGAATTACTGCTTGGAATCCCATGTGCATAAGTTACAACTAACTATATTTCCATAAATTTCAACTATTGATTAAAAAAGAAGTCTACATTTTTAGTTTTGCTCAATGGAAAATAGCAAATTTGGATTTACAAATAACAGTTGTTTCACAGGCAGCTAAACAATTAGGCCAACAAGAATTCTCATTTAAAATGTGTATTCAACTAACGCAGACAGTTAAAGAGAGTACTATGTCCACTTTTCACACATAATTATTTCATTCCTATTTTTGAAAGTGTTCATAACTCTAAACAAGGCAAAATTATGGTAAACTATTTTAAAATACAG